AATTCAGAATCATAGAATGTAAGGGTTGGAATGGACTTTACAGATCATCTAGTCCCAACCCCCTGCCCTGGGCAGGGACACCTTCCCACTAGAACAGGTTGCTCAAAGCCTCATCCAACCTGGCCTTGAACACTGCCAGGGTTGGGGCAGTCACCACATCCCTGGCCAACCTGGGACAGCATCTCACCAGGAGATATAGGAGGAAAGAGGTTCAAATATACAACTCCAGGTATGAAAACCACCCTATCAACAATCAAAATATGAGGAAAAGAGAGCGAACTCCTAGAAAAAAAACCCTGAAATACATTTGGTTTCGATTTGACATGTGAGAATGCTCCAGGAGCAGTGTTATTTCAACCCCTTTTGGAAGCATTTTGCTGGTGTGCATTGGAGCACCATTGCTGAGCACAAATACTAGCTTTGAAAGCAACAGGAAAAACCTGGACATATTAAAAAAACATTGAGTTGCAACATTGATGTTGCTGAATCTAATATTACACATCATAAAGGAGATGGCTATTAAGGGACGACACGGGATGTTTTAGACTTTCATGAGGTCTGTCCTGACATCTGTGAGCTCATTACAGACTGTTGTACAGGAAAGGACCAGGAGTCCAATCAGAAGGTGCAGACATGTGGGCACAATCACAAAAAACACCCTATCACATACACACTCTGCCTTTCCAGTGCAGTTACTTGCAGATTTCACCCAGGTGCAGTAATTTCCATGCTGTTTCTCCTGTCTTGCAGTATTCTGGATTTCACACGGAGAGATCTGAGTCTGACCATGAAAGCCAGTGGGGTGGGAGCCCCCTGACTGATACAGCTTCTCCCCAGCTCTTGGAGCCTACAGACAGACCCAGCTCCCAGCACCACGATGTCTCCTGTGCCTACAGACAATACTCAGACCGCAGTGCTCTCTGCTATGGTTTTGCACTTGACCACTCCAGGCTGACTGATGACAGGCATTTCCACACTCAGGCCTGTGAAGGAGGCAGATGTGAAGCTGGTCGATATTTCCTTGGCACACCACAGCCAGGCAGGGAGAGCTGGTGGGGCTCTCGTTCAGCACTGCCTCTGACTAAATCATCCCCTGAGAGCAGAGAAGCGTATGAAAACAGTATGCCACACATAACCTCAGTGCACAGGATTCATGGTAAGAGAGAACAAGGATTTGCAAAAGTGGCACCGTTTCCGATAAAAAACGTGATGCGAATGCACAGCTGTTTGTGTGAAAGATGGAAAATGAGAGAGGCTTTTGATGTGTGTCTTTGTCTCAGAGATCACATCTCTGGAGATGTGGAATGCTTAAAATTTAAGGTGAATTTTACAGTTTGGCTTATATGCAGCAACATATAATTTTGTTGTATATTCTTGAATCTGTGAAATTAAGACCTATCTGACTGGTGAGATTTTAAGGATGATCTTAAAAATATAGACAAAGTAATCCACTTGATAGAAATGTGCTATTTATTTATCTTAAGATCAAACTACTTTGCGTGGAATATATTTAGAAAAAAATTAGACCCATGTCCAAGCTAGATATTAAAAAATCTTTGAAATCTTTGGAGAAATTCTTCTCTAAATGCCTTTTTTTTTTCTCTACTGGTCATTACTAGATTCTGTTAATTGCTGTTAATTTTGGCTTTGCTGCTAATTTTTATTTAAAACTGGCAAATTAATTTAACATTTGCTCTTGGATTCAAATATGTATTCTTAGCTATATGTTTTTGGCTAATTTGAATTCCTCCATCACCAAACCTGAAGTTTTGTTTGATACCTGACAGGTTGCAAACTCAGTGCATTAGCACATTTTCAGAGGCTGAAGTTAATAAAAAAAATCACAGCAAAAGCCTGATGTTGGGTTTGGAAAAGTCTGAAGGTCCTTAGTCTAAAAGTTGTAGGCTGAGGCTTGGAACACAGTAACTGACTCAAAAGTCAGAGGTCAAACTTGTAAGGAGAGATGCTGCAACAAGAGAAAAGAGTTATTTTCTACTGAAATAGTCTATCAAAACATAGGCTGCCTCTAAAGAACTCTTTAAAGCTAATTATATTAGTACTATTTCACTGATTTGTGGAACGAGGCTTTGTAAATAAAACAACTGTGCTATTTTACTCCAATGAGGAAAATTATGTTGAGATTAGAAAATTTACTAAGCAAGAAATTCTAGAAAATGCAGTCAGAGAAAAACTAGGAAAGGAAGAACAGCTAAATTTTGCTGATGAGGGCTGTTCTCTACTTTTCCTGTGAGAACATACCTTGTGTCTATTCTGTACTTCTGTCCTGCTTGTGTTTCTCTAGCTTTTTCTTCTCCAAAAAAGAGAATTGTGTGAAGTAGGATAATTTTGCTAGCAGATTTTATGCATGATAATTCTTGCTGAGTGTAGAAATATCATACTGAGGTACAAATGCAAAAGTGTAGATATTTATTCCCCACCTTTATCAAGGACAATCAATGCAAATGGATAATAGAATTTAATTTTAGTTTGTTGCTTGGTTTTACTGTAATTCCAGGTGCTGAATCTATTATTGTATCAAGACTTACATTTTTTAGTAGGCCTTCTGTCTGCATGTAGCTTTGGGGGAAAATCCTGACAGGTTGGTCTTAATTGAGGAGAGGAACATCTCAGCTTCCCCTGTCCATGTGCCTTTTTCATTTAGGTTGCAAACCTTGGCCTTTCACAAACAAAACTTCTTTTGACAACACTCTGTGAACATTGCTGTCAGAGCAGACTTTTTTGGGCAGAAAATATATTTTCCTTTTCTGTTTTTCTTTTAATGTATCTTCCATTAGTTCTGGCTTGGGGTCACCTTACAGTAATGACAACTATCTGAACAGTATGGCAAGCCCTGGATAATGCATATGAGCCCATGTGTTTCTGGTCACACTCAGGGAGTCTGGGACACTGCAGATATGGTTTGTGCAGTGAGACAAATTGAGCATGTGGATCAGAGTTGTAGCTGGTCAGCTCCCCACTGTGGCATGGTGTGCTAGATGTACTGTGTTCTTTGGTGACTTGAGTTCCCTTCCATCTCCAAGCCATTTTAGGTCCAAGTCTAAAGAGGATATGAAGGATAAATTCATGCCTATGATACTCCACAGTGCTTCCACCAGAAAATGCCAGGATATATTGATTGTAAAAGCCCATCATTGATTTTTGTTGTGAACTCTGCAACACAGTGGTAGTGGTCTGCCACCAAACAGATCTGTATGTCCTGACCCAACAGAGATCAGGGGGAACTCCTTGTGCTAGTCTGAAAATTGGTTTATTTTGAGGAGTCCTGTCAACCAACCCAACAGGCCTCATCCCCAACGAGGACTTTGTATGTACTGAGGCAAAGGCATCATTGAGTAACATGTCTAAAGTCCAACATGTGCCCATCTGCAGGGCAAATCAAGCCCTTTATCATAATGTGGCCTTAGCTGACCGTTCAGGTTTCGTGGTCACTCTCCTCCTACTAAGTACAGACAGCTATGATTCTGTCCTTTCTGCTACTTGCAAGCTGAACACTTTCTCTGATATGTCTATGGGGCTAATTTTTTTTTAAGAGAGGTAAGAATATAGTCAGTTTCCCATTCTGAAAACAAATATTTGTGCGTTGGGATAGGGCATCACATTTTTACAGTAACCCTGTCTAACAGCTATGGATTCTTCTGCTTCTGAAGAAGAATTGCTTCATTACTTGTGGTTATTTATTGTTGTGCAACCTGCATAAAGCCACTACAGGACCACAAGCTATTCCTCAATGCTGTTTGTGTTTTAGCTCCTGGAAAGGCCTAACAAGGCACACTGCAATGTTTTACATTTGTAATTCCTTGTGATTTTTGTTTTTACCATGGCCCAAATTCACTCAGTCTTTGTTGATGTGAAGTGGTAGTGAGGGGTCAGAGGTCTGAACACTGGCATTGAGGGCACATGCCCTAGGGTACCTTGCCTGGCCTCTAGCAACTCCAGAAGACAGAGTTCCTGTAGAGTTGGTGCCATACCTGCTGGGCTTATGCAGCTGCTTCGTTACCCTAGAGCGTATCAGGTGGCACTGGGTGTCTGTCTTGAGGTGTTTAGATCTCTTCTTTGTATATTTCCAGCTTGTTACTTGTTCCATGTGGAGACACTAGAAAACAGAGTTTGTCACTGAGATCTGCAAGGGATCTGCCGTGCTCTTTTTTGGTGACTGTCAGGAGTCACTTACCTCTGTCTTGGCTTTTTGTCTTTAAAATAAGGTTCAGATTGCTTGTTCTTCAAGATCACTTGCCTGCTTAGTCCTCAATGCTTGTCTCCTTTCTCTTTCCTAGGAAGAGGACACTGGGATGAGGACAGTGTCGTTAGCTCACCTGATCCTGGCTCTGCCAGCGAATCAGGTGACCGATACCGTGCTGAACAATATCAGAGCAGTCCACATGAGCCCAGCAAAATTGAAACTCTAATAAGAGCCACCCAGCAAATGATTAAAGAAGAAGAAAACAGGCTACAGCTGCGGAAAACCACTCCTGACCCACTGGTGTCCATTAATGGCACAGGGAAGAAGCATGCTATCTGTTTTGCAAACTACCCTCAGCAGCAGTTGGCAGGGGATGTCTGCCGTGTCCCGACGGTTGCCAACACTCCTCCCTGTGAACACATACCGCAGCGAGACGGAAAGATTATGAGCCCACATGAAAATGACTATGACAACAGCCCCACGACACTGTCTAGGATTAGCAGCCCCAGTTCTGATCGAATATCAAAATCTAGTTTGGTACTTGCTAAAGACTACCTGCATTCAGACATGTCCCCTCATCAAACCCCAGGAGACCACCCAGCAGCCTCTCCAAATTATTACAGCTCCCACAGGCAGTACTTTGATAAGCATGCTTACACACTAACTGGATATGCCTTGGAGCATCTATATGACACTGAAACAATTAGAAACTATTCGCTAGGCTGTAATGGATCACACTTTGATGTGACTTCTCACTTAAGGATGCAGCAAGATCCAGCACAAGGACACAAGGGAACATCTGTTATAATAACCAATGGAAGCTGACACTTTCTTCTCTGAAAACTTTTGTGCTTTAAAAAAATAACCTTTGAGATTTAATTGGAAGATATATGTTTTCATTCCCTTGTCCTTACCAGCATTTCATATACCACAGTGCACTAGAAAGAAGAAATGAAGGTTTGGGGAAATAAGTTAGTTAACACACATTTGCTTTAAAAAATAAAAATGCACTGGCATGCAGGGTTAGAGTGTATGGAGCTAAACTCGAAGTTGATGCCATGCAAGGTGAGAAGGATAGAAGAGGTCTAGGCAGAGAGTGCTTGGGGCAGGCTAGGAGAGCAGTTCATGCACATTGTATGAGGTAGTTGGTTGGAAATGCTGCCAAGGGCAGACCTTCTAAACTGCATAGGTCTCAGCCAACAAAACTGCTATGCACTCTTTTAACACAGAAAATTGGAATGTGTTCCTTCAAAATATACAGCAACACGTGTACTTCTGGTGATCTGTTTATTCCCTAACAGCCAAGCTTGTTGTGCTCCTCCATGGCATAAAGTATCCATGGCTGACCAATACAAAAGCAAAAAAAGGGAGAAAGAAGAGAGAACTCCTTTATGTCCTCGTGCACTCACATGTGTAGCTATTTACAAATGCTTGATTTGCAAAGAGTCAAATGAGCACTATCCTATGATTAGTGCAGTCAAACATTTACTGCTACTCTATTAAAAAGCAAGGGGCATTCTCACTGTAGTTTTGAGAAACACAAAGGGCTTGGATGTCTTGCTGTAGAGATGGGAGATTGTTCTTATATTTCTGAGAGGTTGCCCTAGGTGGGTAGTGGAGTGAAATGGAAGCAAATTGCTTGGAGAAGCAGGGAGAATAGGCTGGAATTAGGAGTGGTCCAAGATAAGCATAGTTACACCTGTGGCTACGTATGCCATGTAGTAATAATTATAAAATAAGGAAAAGTGATTCCAAGTGGCTGGAGAATTAAGAATTAATTTGAAACACAGAAAGAGCTCAATAGAATCATAGAAATTTTGACGTAAAATATAAATGCAATTTCATAAGTGTAAAAATATGAGAGGTGAGAATAGATAAAAACTGTTTGGTGGTTTGTCTAACTTCTGATAAAGTTTTGGAGTAAATTAAGCAAGTATAGAAAACTGTAACTACTCTGCCTGACATACAGTAAAGTAATAGGTATGACTGAAAAAGAGATAAGCATTCTTTTCTTGCTTGCAGCACAATATTTAATGAATATCAGATCATATTAAGGATATCAAAATCAGTCATATATATACATGAAAAAGTACTGAAGAAAATCAGTGTTCCAAGAAATTTGATTGCATTAAGAATGCTGGTATTGTCAGGGCCTGTCCTAGAGTTATCAAAGACATCAAAAGAGGTAGATAAACTCTTTTTAATTTTTAAGTATCTCATAAACAAAGCGACATTGATTGGGAAAGAATAAATACAAAACATATGCTAAAACATAAAATAGGGTATTTCTAGGCACAATTGTAGACCTGTCCTTTGTATGGCATTTATATGGTCCCAAAGTTGACTGCAATGGAAGCAGGACCATGGCTCCTTCTTACACCAGTGTGGAGGTAAGGGGACTTAAGCTGGTTACTAAAACGATATTAACACTAGGACTAACTTCATTTCTAGCATTAAGATGCTCAACATATGAGACTGAGCCATCAGTGGGATTAAATATAAACCAGCATGCTACGGGTAGGTTAAAAATATCTGTTTCTAAATAAAACTAATCAGAAGCAAAAGCTAAATAATAACATTATAAACCACGTAAGTAAAGATGTACTTGAAAGCAGAGGAAATTACCTCTCTGAACTTGGAATATTGTGTATAGTCCTGATCACTCCAAGGCAGATTGTGAATCTTGAGTTGAGTAGTACCTTACTCCATGAGCAACCTTTGTTGACTGCAGTGTGATCGCTCCTGGTGAAATGCACATTGAACACAAGGAAGAACAACACAGTCTGGTCTTTATTATCTAAACCTCATAATAGAAAAGGTGGAGCAGAGCTCAGCAAAAGATAAAGAGACTGAAAGATCTAATAAAAACTTTAAATAAACTGGGTCTGTCATCTTTATAAGGGAATAGAAAAAGGGGGAATGTCACTGATGTGCACCAAGCTCTGCACAGACGAGAGATAAATAATGGTCTAAAACTATTTGAACCAGCGGCAGAAATGAGAGACAGGGCATTGAATGTTAGCCAAGGCAAAATGAGAACAAAATGATTTGGCAAGAAGTTTGTTTGACTCACTGCCAAATGAATAACAAAGGTCATAAAGAGAAGCAGCTAGAGATTTTTGTTTGTTTGTTTGTTTGAAGATAAAAACAAGGCAAATAATTGAGGGGAAGAAAAACATTGACAACCATTAACTCAGAGGAAGGAATGGACCAAAATGGACTTCTTTCAGACCAACAATTGTACATATTCATAAAGCATAGGGATAAGAAAGTATTTTTGATAAATCTAGTTCTGGATACATATTTATTTCACTTATTCCTATGAATAATATGAATAAACTTGTATTTGGACTCTCATTGTACAGTATTAAAATGCAATTTGCCAAGCGAATTAGAGTAGAGGTACATGGTATCATATTATCCCTACTAGTACGTATAAAAATAAGTCTAAGTGTCAATATTATTTTGTACTACAGAAGAGTTTCCTAAACTGTTTGAATGAATGGGATTTTCTCAGCACCCAAGTTTCTTGGGTTCACCAGGCACTCTTGTTGTCAAGCTTTTAATTAGAAGGCAATAGAGTTCTGCAGACCAGCTGCAGTTCCCTGGCTGTGGTCTAATGGCCACTGTTGTGTTTGCATTCTGACAGGCACCTTAGGAAAACAGAAGACTTCTAAAACAAACAGGCACAGTATAAGATGCTTTTTATCTGTATGATTTCACCTAGGAAAAAAACCCCAGTGTGCTATGCAATAAAAATTCCCAGTTCATATTTACAATGATCCCAAAATAAGACTTCCAAACTGTAGTTATTTATCTTCTTTGCAGTAGTTTCAGTCCACTACAAATGCAACAAAATGCACTGTAATGAATGGAATAAACAGTAGAGATGTCTCTACATGCAGCCAGATTGTGCTACAAGCAAAGGCTGATGCTCTCTCCCCTCTTGGGATTCCTGCAACTGGCTCTCCTTAGCACTTCAGTGCAGTCTGCCAGAGATGGATGGCTTTTGTCAGCTAGTTTGCCATCCTGCTGCTTCACATAGCCAGGAAGTTTTTCTTAATTGACAGAAAGCATTGAATGTTGTGAACATAGACTCTGCATGCTACATGGAAGCAAGTCTGCAATCTTAATTATAGCATATAATATCACTGCAGCTCATATTACATGTTTTTAATATGGTATAAAGCTTATTTTTTCCATTACATATTCATGTAATTCAAATTTTCATTTAGTATCCTTCAAGGATATAATTTTCTTTTTTTTCCCCTTTGCTAAATCAGGTGAGAATTGGAAAATACAAGGCATTTTGAACCAAATAAGTTTCAAAATGTATCGCATTAGCTAAAGGTTGGCACTTTAAATAAGGTGTGTATGTTGTGTTTTGGAACACAATCAATATAAATTGCTGCGTTGCATCATTTCTCTAACATGATACTGGTTTGCTATTAGCACCAAATTCATATTTTGTAGCTACTCCAAATACAGAGGGAACACAGCTCTTTCAAACCCTTTCTTAATGATATCAGTGGATTGTGCATTATGATTTCTGTGCATTTTGCTTTTTGTATAAATCTTTTTTTTTTAAGAGCTAAAAATCCCCTAGTCTTTGTACAATATTGCAATTCTGGGACATAAACCTTGTCATTTTGGACAAATTTGCCAAGTAATTCTTGACTTAGGAGAAGAACCTTACTCAGCAATTTGTCCCATTGACTCAAATGGGAATATTTGTGGAGTAAGGTACTACTTAATATGTATAATGGGCCAAAAGGCTGACTTGTTGTGTAGGTTTGGGGTTTGTTTTGCAATTTTTTCCCATTAAATCTCAAGGTGTGAGTATGGAAACTATGGAAGGAAATAGCTGTAGTGGCTGTGTTTCTATATTTATACATGCTTTAAAAAAAATGAGTGCATCACTGCACTGAAGAGCCCCAAAAGTATTTCTTCAGCTTCAAATGGCTTTTGTTGATGTGTCCACAATGCTGCCACAGGTTACACAGGGAAATCCTGCTGTTAGACTCTTCTAATCAGTGTTATCTAAATCTCATTTTTCTCTCTGCACATGCAGCATTGATTCATTAATGCCCCTAAGTATGTTAACCACCATATGTTCATTTCTGTCAGCATGCTGAGTGAGTTGGAAAAAAATAAAAGGCTGCATAGTATTTCTGGAAAAGGCACAGCCAGCCCAGAAAATGAGACTGGCTGTTCCAAAGGTCAGATAACCTTTCAGTCACGGAACAAAGCTGTGGCATACGCATTGGTTTCAGACCTACTGCATACAAAGCTGGATGTAATGGGGATTATAGCACACAGTCCCAGGATTAGACCAGGCTATGTCTATTTTAAGGTGCCAATAGTTAATGTCTGGCAGCAAACGGATTCAGGCTCTGCTCTTTCCATGAGTTGCAAGTTTACTTAAAACACCTAAGGGTCTAAAGACAATAGAGGCTTTGTTATTAGGAACAATGGTGGATGAACATGCTTTCCTGTAGGTATACTGGATTAACTCCAGACACCTCCACAGTGTGGAGGAAAACCTATTTTATTTTATTTGCAGTTAGCATTGATGGTTAAATATTATGTGTGCGCTGAGGAGCGAAATAACCCAACCAAGAACAGGAAAAGCAAATCAGAAAACTCTACAGATTTCTGTAATGCTTCAGTTTGGTGTTTTTGAAGCCTCCTAGAGGTGTAGCTGAGGGTTTAGCTGTTATTTCAAAGACCAAAAAAATTAAATAGTCTTCTGTTCAGAGCAGTGAGGGCACTAGTGTGATTCCATTTCACGTTTCTTTAGAGCATTTATTAATGAAAAAAAAAAG